AAGCTGCAGTTTCATCATTTATATAACGGATTAAAAAAATGTGCCTCCATCACAGGACTTTGGTTTGAATTAAATAAGATGTTTGCAAAGTCCTTCAAAAAGTGCATAGCACACTCTAAGAATTTTTGTAGTTTCTTATTACAATACAAAAATAGCTGTACCAGTAAAGATTCACAATCTTGGAAAACCTTTGGGTTTTACTCTTTGCTGGAATCCTGGTGTGGCAGATTGGACCACAAGGTTGGCATTTCAATCTCACTAGCCACTCCTTGGAAACCCTATACAATCTTGGAACTAACTCAACTGCACTTAACAACAACTATGGTCGTTATGAGCTGGAATTAACTAAATAATACTGGTGCTGGTGGTGGTGGAATATAAGACCCCTGAAAGTTACCAGATAAAATCCTACACATCCAATTGATGCAATAAGAATGAAAGACTGTGTTAAGTATCATTGAGTTGGTCACTCTTAGTTACCTTATGCACGACAGAACCAAACATTGCTGGATCCTACACTAACCTCAAGGACCTCTGGTAGCGTAGTGGTTATGAATCGGGCTGTTAACCGCAAGGTCAGCAGTTCAAAACTACCAGCTGTTCCGCGGGAGAAAGATGAGACGTTCTGCTCCCGTAAATATTTACAGCCTCCGCTATGAGTCGGAACAGACGCCACGGCATACAGCCACCACTACCACACTAACCTCACAGTCTAGCTACATCTGAACACATTGCTGTCACTGTGTCTGAAGTATGAGAGATAAACTCTGGCCATCCTGGCTTTCACGGAGAATTCTGGCTGTATATCTTCCAACACAGATTGATTTGTTCTTTGGAAGTCCATGGTACTTTTAATATTCTCATCAAACACTGTAGCTCAAATGCACAAGTTCTTCTACGGCCTACCTTATTTACTGTCTGATTTTCAAATGCATATGAAGTTACTGAAAATACCATGGATTGGATCAGGGACACCTTAGTCCTCAAACTGACATCTGTGAGCTTCAACACTTTTTTGTTTGTTTGTTTGGTACAGAATTTTATGTTACAACCATTAACATAACTGTCTTTTATTCTTGCAGATCTTTGTCTTCATTTACCTTGGTCATATTGGGCTAACTCCCTCTGTATTGTGAACTGCCTTTCAAAGTGCAAGTTCATATACAAATGTATAACTAAGTTATTGGTTCCATGGTGTTTGGGTTATATTTGAAAGAGCATTGAGAAAATAAAAAGTGCTGTTACTGGTCCAACTAGCCCTATCAGTGGCACAAAGAAAAGTATAGGGAAAGTAGAGGTTCAGGTAAGTTTTTAATTAGTAAATTTACCAATAAATTTGAAAGAACATGGGGAACCTTAGGAATCATAGTAGTAAGTGAATGGGATACCTTATATATCCATAAATCTGTAGGCTGAGTACACATCCACCCCATCCACTCAGCATGCTTCTCAAAGTGGTGGTACATGAGAAGTTAATAATTTTCATGTCTGCCTTTCTCACTCTAATCTTCAGTCACCTTGTATAATAGCATATATATAAGCAATTAGGAAATGTTAAATTCTGACAGGGAGACCAAGTTAGAGTGAAAGGCAAATGTTTAGCAATAATGTTCAAACAAGCTGGCAAACAAGGAATTGTCTCCTTAAAGGGCCAAATACTCCACATTCTTCAAGAAATCGCAATCAGGTTTTCATTCTGCTGAATGTTTTCACATTTTACTTGTTACTGCCCAAAATTAAGCAAGTACACATTTTTGAGTATTGATTCATCACTAAACGGTTTACATTAGAAAACTTAAAAAAAAAAATTTGTGTGTGATAAACAAATCCATTGGAAAGGCGCTGGGTGTCAATTTCCAATGGGGGGAACGTTCTTATGCAGGTACTGTAAGGCTAAGTCCGTCCACTTCATTTCTTGTTCTTTAATAGACTCTGTGGTGCTACCGTTGTCTTGTTCAAGTTCAGGAAGCTTATTCAGAGGTATTGCAACATCCTCATAGGGCAGCTTGTCTTCTCGCCAAGCGTCATCAATCAAATCCAAGATCCTTCCATTTCTCTGCACCTCACTGTCCATTCTCCAGCAAACTAGATCTTGTCAGATCAGCACTCAGCCCACCACACCACCCGCTTCCTGCTTCAACACTTTAAAGAGGTCTTGTGCAGCAGACATACCTATTGTAGTATGTCGTTTGATTTCTTGACTGCTGCTTCCATGAGTGTTGATGATTGATCCAAATAAAATGAAGTCTTTGACAACCTCAATTTTTCTCCATTTATATGGATGTTGTTTATTGGTCCAGTGATGAAGATTTTTATTTTCTTTACATTAAGGTACAACCTCAATGAAGGCTGTGTTCTTTGATCTTTATTAGTAAGTATTTAAAGTCCTTTTTACTTTCAGCAAGCAAGGTTGTGTCACCTGCATGTAGCAGATTGTTATTGAGTCTTTCTCCAATCATGTTGCCAATTTTTCTTCATGTAACCCAGTTTCTCAAATTATTTCCTCAGCATACAGCCTGAAAAAATATGGTGAAAGGAACCAGCCCTATAGCACATCTTTCCTAATTTTAAACCATTGGTGTTCCTTTGTTCTGCTCAAACAACTGCCTCCTGGTCTACGCATAGTCCCTCATGAGCACAATTATGTGCTCTGGAGTATTCATTCTCCGCAATGTTGTCCATATCTTGTCACAATTCATACAATCGAAAGCCTTTGCATACTCAATAAAGCACAGGTAAACATTTTTCTGGTATTCTCTGCTTTCAGTCAAGATCCATATTACATCAACAATGATATGCCTCATTCCATATCCTCTTCTGAACCCAGCTTGAACTCTGGAAGTTCTCTGTTAATGTTTGGTTACACCTGTTTTAAAACTATATTCAGCAAAATTTACTTGTGCTTTTTTTTGCTGTGGAGCCAGCAGAGTTATTGACCCTTGGCACCTGGAGAACTGGCTGAAGCCAACTCCCACTGACTGTACAGTGACGACATCCCGGCTCTGCCTTCCTCACTGGCTTATCCGCAGCCTGGCTCTGGCCCCAGATAACACAACAGTGACTGAAGAGAAGACTTCTCTAAGAAACCAGCTGTCCAAATCTGATAATAAAAATGGTGAGGAAGATGAAGACAAGAGAAAACTTAATAAAGGAGTCTATAGAGACACCTAATAATGGCCAGTTTGATGTGAAACAATATCAAAGAAGTTACAACTGACAGTAGAGGCAGAGCAGTTGAAACCATTTTTTATGAAGGCAGTTGGGAGTCACATTGATGATTTTGTGACCAATCTCATTGAAAAATCAGCATCATTAGACAAGGGTGGCTGTGTTGTCACATCTTTTTCTGGTTTTGAAGGTGAGCAGAACAACCATAAAGCTAAAGATCTAAGGGCACCTCCAGAACAAGGAAAGCTTTTTATCGTAAGGCAATCTCTGAGAGATGAGCTGTTTGAGGTGGACCACATCAGAACAATATATTATATGTTTATTGCACTATCTTGCATTATCTTTATCCTCAGCACACTGGTAGTAGATTACATTGATGAAGAGAGGTTGGTGCTTGAATTCAGTCTCCTGTCTTATGCTTTTGGCAAATTTTCTATTGTTATTTAGACCTGGGGAGCCATGTTCCTGTCTACACTTTCGTTTCCTTATTTCTTTTTTCTACATTGGGCCAATGGATATAAGAAGAGTTCCCACCCAATGCTTCATTCTCTGGTTGATGGCTCACTTTTTGTTTTCTTCCAGATTGGAGCTTTAGGTTTTGGATCAACGTATGTCGTATTAGCATATACACTGCTCCCAGCTTCCCGGCTCACTGTTATACTTGAATAGATTCATTTTATAATGAAGGCTCATTCATTTATCAGAGAAAGTGTGCCTCGGGTAATGGATTCAGCTAAGCAGAATTCAAACACTGTACCAATACCCACAGCCGGTCAGTACTTGTACTTCTTATTTGCTCCTACCCTAATCTACTGTTACAACTACCCCAGGACTCCTACAATAAGATGGGGTTATGTTACTACTCAGTTTGCACAGAGTTTTGGTTGCATTTTTGGTGTGTACTACATCTTTGAAAGGCTCTGTGGCCCCTTGTTTTGGAATATCAAACAGGAACGCTTCAGTGCTCGTGTGTCCTCATCCTGTGTGTATTTAACTGCATCTTGCTAGGTATGCTGAGTCTGTTCCTTACTTTTGTTTTTGTTTTTGTTTTTGTTTTCTTACATTGCTGGCTCAATGCCTTTGCTGAGATGTTATGTTTTGGTGACAGTATGTTTTATAAGGATTGGTGGAACTCTACATCATACGCCCATTATTATAGTACCTGGAATGTGGTTGTCCATTATTGGCTATATTACTAAGCTTATAAGGACTTTCTCTGGTTTTTCACTAAGAAGTTCAAATCTGCTGCAATGCTAGCAGTCTTTGGTGTTTCTGCTGTAGTGCATGAATATGCCTTGGCTCTATGCTTGAGCATTTTTACCCAGTGCTCTTCATGGTCTTCATGTTCTTTGGAATGGCTTTTGACTTTATTGTCAACGATAGTTGGAAAAGGCCAATATGAAATGTTATGATGTGGGCTTCCCTTTTTGTGGGTCATGGAATCAGCCTGTGCTTTTATTCTCAAGAGTGGCATGTACATCAGCATTATCCTCTGAAAAATGCCACCTTTTGGATTATTTTCGACCTCGTTCCTGGACTTGCTGTTATGTGTTTTAGAAGTTTGGACTTTGTTTTCTTTAATATCACTGAAGTGCAGTTATTCTGACTGATTTGGAGCCAGCAGCTGTTTCCAATAGTTACAGAAGTTACCTGTATTCTTGGACCACTTTAGGCTTGACAGGTGGCTCACTCCATTCCTAGGTTACATGAAGCTGAGCTTTTGGAATCTTGTTCACTTAAGGCTTTTTTATTTTTTCCATTGTGGGAGAAGGGTATGAATCACAAAGATAATAGTAAACATAATGACAGATTTTACTGGATCATACCTGCTCAATCTTTAGTAACTATATCTGTGCATCTTTTGTTTTTGACGATTTACCAAAACACTTAGGAAGAAATTGTTTAAGCACTTCTGACTTAGAATTTTTGTCATACACTCTGTTGGAATATATACTAATTAAAAATGTCAATTTGGGAAGAACAGAAAATAATATCGGAATTAATTATTGATATTTCTACTAGAAAGAGAAAATACTATCTGTTTTACAAAGATAATCTTGTTTTACACCCTATTTTGTATTTTTATCTGATAAAAATGTTCAGTTCTACTCACTCAACTTTTCCTTTTTTTGTTTTTTTCTGTGAACAGTATAGGTAATGATTTCTGTGGAGCAAAAATATTTCTTTCCCATAGGATTCCTCAGTTTGTAATATCTATGAGGAAATCAAAAGAGGAAAGGGAAAAGAAGCAGCATAAGAGAAAGAAGAATATGTCCTATAACCTCAGAAGCAATTTGTTTAAAGGCTTTTCAGAGCTAATCATGCATTTAAATTAATGTTTGTTATTGAATTTACATGGAAAGTAGCTTTAACAATTTTTTTTAAGGTAATACTTCTCTTGAAGTTATTTAGAAATATTCTTTGGTACAAGTATATTCCTGTCAAGAAGTGCAGCCAGAGTACTCCTTGGAGGCCAAGATGGCCAAACTTCATCTCTCATATTTCAGACATATTGATAGGAGGGACCAGTCACTGGAGAAGAAT